TCAAAATAACTTAATATCATCAATAGAAGTCATAGAAAATGATTCCAAATAATAAAGCGTCGACCTTTAACTAAAATGAAAAGTCAACCCCGAGCCCGCACCCCGGAACTCGACCAAACTAAAAAATTCCGAACATCCATTCCGATACGAGTCCGTTTATGTGTTTCATTCAATTCTAACCTCAAATCGACCCTCAAATTATCAAATTTCACTGTTCAATATCAAACAATAAAATCGAGTGAAGATCACTTACCCTTTCAATTGTGATGAAAATCCCTACAAAAATTGCCCCTAGCCAAGCTCCATAACTCCAAAAAATGAGAAGATGACCAAACCCTCGATATTAATAGTCTACCCAACTAAATTTCATTTGTGATCCACAGTGTCGAATCTTTGATATCGCATATAAGGAAAATCCATCCCAAATACGGAAACAACTTAGCCTCCCGACAACCCGCTTCGGCAGACTTCAAGCTGCATATATGGCTTCGCTCCTGCAGAAGCCCCCGCGCACCTGCGCTCCATAGTCTGCACCTGCAGACCTAGCCCTTCTAGCCTAGCTTCACATCTGTGACCACCTTCACCGTTTCTGCTGTCACACACCTACGGCCCTTCCTTTGCAGTTGTGAAAGCACCGGAAATCAGATGCCTTCTGCAACAACTAAGTCCAAGAATGATTCAAAGTCAACTCAATACACACTCGAGGCCCCTAGGACCCCGTCCAAATAAACCAACCAATCTCGAAACATGACACGGACTTACTCGAGACCCAAAATAACACCAAATAATATCAAAACCACGAATCGCACTTAAATTCAAGCCTATGGAACTAATCCAACTTTTCGAATTCAAAACTTACGTTGATCATGCCTATACAACTTGGAATGACCTTGTAACGACCCGACAAGTTGTTTTTAGATTTAGCATTCTATTCGGTGGTTCAAGGTCATGAGTGGCTTAATATTGTGTATTGTGACTTGTGTGCATGGTTGGTTTTAGTTTTTGAATGATTCAGGATTGATTTGGAAGAATGATTTTTATTTTAGAAGCTTAAGTTAGAAATATTGACTGATGTTTGATTTTTGTGAAAATGATCTTGGATAGTGTTTTGATGGCTACGATAGGTTTTTATTATTAATTTAGACCTTTGGTGTACGCCCAGAATTGAATTCAGAGGTCCATAGGCTGTTTTTAGCTTATTTTGCCGAAAGTTGGCAATTTGAGTTTTAGGAATTCCCTTAGGTTTGACCATAGGTTGACTTTATGGCTATCACGTTCGGAATTTTATTTTGGGACTTAGAATAGGTCCTTTTTATTATTAGGAACTTGTCTGCAATGTTTGGCGTCATTGCGTGTTGATTTGATAGGAATCAGACGCGTGATTGTCTTATTAGAAGTTCTTGAGTTTCATTGTAAATTTCATATGTTTTGACGTCAGATTCATGGTTTTGGATGTTATTTTGATGTCATTATTGTGACAGTGAGTTTGTATGATATTTTTAGACTTGTGTTGATGTTTCGTGTGGAGCCCCGAGGGCTTGGGTGAGTTTCGGATGCATTTTTGAGTGTTTGAAAGAGTTTTTGTTTTGTAGGTTTTAGAACAGGTGCTTCAAGTTTTACAAATGCAAGATATGGTTCGCATTTGCAAGGTATGGGATGTATTTGCGAGGTTGGCTGGGTACTGCATTGTTCTTTTTTGCAAAATTTTAATCAGATTAGCGATTGGGCTTCTAGGCTGGGGTGGTTGCAATTGCAATCATTTGATCGCTTTTGCGGAAGGCGAGGACTTCGCAAATGCGAAGGCTGTGTCGTAATTGTGACTTTTCATGGGTCCATCAGGCCCCGCATTTGTGATGGTTTTTCTACATTTGCGAGGGTTTGCATTTGCGAATCCTGGGTCGCATTTTTGACATCTACACCTAAACAAAAGGGCTGGGAAGACGAGATTGATCTCATTTCTCTGATTTTAAAACCCTAGACTTGGTAGGAGGCGATTTAGAGGAGGATTCACATACAATTATTGGGTAAGTGATTTTGATCAATTTTCAATTATATTACATGATTATATATGAGATTTAACATCTAAATCATTCGATTTGAGAAGAAATTTTGGGAAATTTTGTCTATGTTGTAAAAAATAAAAATTTGTGATTTGAGATCCAAATAGGACTCGGATTTGCAAAACAAAATACATATATGGACTCGTGGGGTTATGAGTAGTCAAGATCTACCATTGGACTCGGGTTTTGATCGAGCGGGCCCGGGTTGACTTTTATTGGATTTTGGGGAATTGTATAAGGATCTTAACTTTATTTATTGGAATTGGTTTCTCTTGCATTATTTGATATTATTAAGTCGATTTTGGTTCGATTTGAGCCGAGCGGAGGCGAATATTTGAGGAAAGACATTTCTAATGTATTGATTGAGGGCTTTTGAGGTAAGTATCTTGCATATCTTTGTGAGGGGGAACCACCCTGTAGGGACTGGTTTAATTGTACTATTTGAATTACATGGAAGATATGTGCACAAGGTGACCAGTGTAACACTTCTTTTTATGTGAAAAATGACCGGTTTAGACTCTTAGGTTTCTTATATGCATTTAATTGAAGTTGTCATATCATGTTATATCTTTAATTGTCGAGTTCACTCTAATATGCTTTAATCGAAGTTCATATTACATATTACCTCTTTCATTGTTGAGTTATATTTATTTGACATTTTCATTACATATTACCTCTTTCATTGTTGAATTTTCTTATTTGAAGTCATTATTACATGTCATCTCTCTTATTGTTGAGTTATTCTTATTTGAAGTCATTACTACATGTTATATCTTTCATTGTTGAGTTTATTCTCCCGTTTCATTGAGCGTTTGTTATTCTTGTGTTACCGTACTCTCGTGTTATGGTTGTTCTTGTTGTTGTAATTAGTGTTGGTGAGTCATGGGGTATGTATTGTTGTGTTATTGGTATTGTTGTTATGGCAACGTTGTGGCATATGGACACGTGTGGTGCGAGTTATTATGTTGTGTTGTTGTGTTTATGAAACATGTGGAATTGCTGAGAAGATTGTCAGGGTGTTTGCACGTCAGTTGTCCGTACTATTATTATTATTGATATTTACACATGCGGCGAGACAAGGCAGGCTATATATGTTGGGTTTGCACATGTGGCGAGACAAGGTGGGATAATTATTGATGAGCATGTGGCGAGACAAGGCGGGCATTTACTTTGATGTTGCGCACGCGGCAAGACAAGAGGGCTATGTTGGGATGATTTGTGGCTTGGGGGCATTGTAATTGATGATATTTATGTGGTGGTGCGACTTTCTTATGTGTGATGCATATTAGAGGTTTTTTTGTGTTGTTTCAAATGTGCTACTTGGTATCTCTGATTTTACCTATTGACTTGAGCTTTGATAGTACACTTGCACAAGCATACACCATAACATGTTATTTATATCGGTCCATGAGTATGAAACTTGATGTTCATTTATCATGTACGTGTATTCTTGTATCCCTGCCTTTTGTGTATGTATTGCACTGGTGGCACGTGAGTTGTCCATTCAGATATGAGATATTGTTACTATTAGCACATGAGTTATCCATGAGGATCTGAGCTATTATTGGTATTGGCACGTGAGTCGTCCGTGCAACACGTGAGTTGTCCGTGCGGTTGTGACTGATAATGTGGGCACGAGATGCCATGTGATTATGATTTGTGATTTGGGGACTCGTGATTTGTGAACATGAGGTGTGGTGTCTCGGGGTGATTCTTGTGCAAACCTTGTGATAGAAAGGTTGATTATTTGGTTGTCATTGTTTTCCTTAATTGGTTTCACTGGTTCTTTAATTGTGTTTCTACTCGCCATATTATCACCCGTTTACTCCTTGTTGCTATTTGTTGTTGCTACTTTCCATTGCTAGCGTGATATTGTTATTCCTTACATGTTTGGGTTTACATTGATATTTGATTCCTCTGTTAGCTTTATATGAATATTTTGCATAGGTTATTATGTATGGTAGGTATCTTGACTTGAACCTTGTCACTACTCCACCGAGGTTAATCTTGATACTTACTGATTACCGTTATGGTGTACACATGCTACGCTTCTGTACATTTTTGTGCAGGTCAAGGTACCTCGGGGCCTTCTGTCCATTAATTAGCTGTTGGAGATTCGCTACGGAGACTTCAAGGTATACTTGCCATTGCGTTCGTAGGTCTCGGAGTCACCTTCGGGAGCTTTACTTCATTTCCATTTATTTTAACTCCAAATAGTGATATATTTGATATCTAGTTACTCTTAGTAGACCTTATGACTTCGTACTACCGGTTTAGGGAAATGTATAACTATTGATCATATTTAGCCACATATATCATTTACTGGTTTATCATTAATGGTCAAATGGTTTAAATCTATTAATAACTCAGCATGTATTAAGCTTACCTACTTCTAGGGACTAGGTGCCATCACGATCCTCAAGGTGGGATTTTGGGTCGTGACAGACCTCAAATTAAATGCAAGTCCCAAATGAACAACGGACCTATACTAACTCCGGAACCACAATCCGAACCCGACATCATAAAAGTCAACTCCTAGTCAAACCTATCAACCTTCCAAACCTTCAATTTTCCAACTTCCACCAATTCAAGCCAAAACAACATGGGAACCTCCAAATTCAAATGTAGACATACGCCTAAGTTAAAAATAACCATACAAAGCTATTGGAATCATCAAAACATCCTCCAGAAGTTGACTACATAAAAGACAAACTCCGGTCAATTCTTCCAACTTAGACATCCAACCTTGAGACTAAGTGTCTCAATTCAATCCAAAACTTCCCTAAAACCAACCCAACCAGCCCGGCAAGTCTCGTAATCACAAACACACATTTCTAAAGCATCAAATAGGGGGAACGGGCTAAAATACTCAAAACAGCCGGTTGGGTCATTACAATCTCCCCCTGTTAAACAAACGTCCATCCTCGAACGAGTCTAGAATCATACCCGGAGTCTCAAAAAGGTTAGGATATCTAGTCTACATCTCTTTCTTGTTTTTCCAAGTAGCTTCCTCGAATGGGTGACCTCTAATTGCACCGTTCTGAAGTCCAAAACATGTGACGGATCCCCATGATACTTTCGGAGCATAGCAACATGAAACACTAGGTGAACTCCCAATAGACTAGGTGGTAAGGCAAGTTCATAGGCCACCTCTCCAACTCTCTCAAGTACCTCAAAAGGACAAATATACCTACGACTCAACTTTCCCTTCCTTTCGAACCTCAACAAACCCATCATCGGCGAAACTCTAAGTAGTACCTTCTCAGCCACCATATATGCAACATCACGAGCCTTCTTGTTAGCATAAAACATCTGCCTGGACTGTGCTGTGTGAATTTGCTCTGGAATAAACTTCACCTTCTCCAAAGCATCATGGAACAAATTAGTGCCCAACAACCTAGCCTCCCCAGGCTCAAACAACCCAACTAGAGAACGACATTGCCTCCCATATAAGGCCTTATAAAGAGCCTTTTGGATACCCGATTGGTAGTAGTTATTGTAGGAGAACTCTGCTACGGAATAAACTGATCCCATGATCCTCCAAAATAATTGACACAAACATGTCCTCGAAGATCTGAATAGTGCACTCAGACTGCCTGTCCGTTTGGGGATGAAATATTGTATTCAGCTCAACCTATATTCCGAGCTCACGCTGCACTCCTCTGCAAAAATGCAATGTAAATTGTGTTCCTCAATCAGAGTTAATAGACACGGACACCCAACGAAGGCGAACAATCTCCCGAATATAAATCCTAACCAGCTGCTTTGAAGAACAAGTAGTCATGACAGGAATGAAGTGAGCAGACTTGGTCAGTCTGTCCACAATGACCCACACTTCATCGAATCTCCTCAAGGTCCGTCGAAGCCCAACTATAAAATCCATAGTGATACACCCCCATTTCCACTCCATAATATCAAGCCTCTAAAGCAAACTATAGGGTCTCTGATGTGCGTACTTCACCTGCTGATAGTTCAAACACCGAGAGACATACTCAACTATATCTTTCTTCATCCTCCACCACCAATCCATCGAATCATGGTACATCTTCGCGGCCCCCAATGAATGGAATACTGCGAACTATGGGCCTCCTCAAGAATAAGCTCTCGCAACCCATCCACATTTGGAACACAGATACGACCCTGTAGCTTTAATAACCCATCATCACCAATAATAACCTCCTTCGCATCACCATGTTGCACTTTGTCCCTCGGGATAAACAATTGGGGATTATCATACTCACGCGTATTGATGTGCTTAAACAATGACGACACAGATACAACACAAGCATGAACTCCACTAGAATCCGAAATATCCAACCTCACGAATCGATTGGCTAAACCTTGAACATCCAATGCTAACGGTATCTCCCCAACAGGAATATAAGCAAGACTCCCCATGCTCTTAGCCATCCTACTCAAAGCATTGGCCACCACAATGGCCTTCCCCCAATGACAAAGAATGGTGATATTATAGTTCTTGAGTTGCTCTAACCACCTCCATTGCCTCAATTTCATATCCTTTTGCTTGAATAAGTGCTGGAGACTCACGCCATCTGTGAACACCTCACAAGTCATGCCGTAAAGATAATGCCTCCAATTCTTGAGCGCATGAACAATGGCTGCTAACTCCAAATTGTGAACAGGGTTGTTCTTCTCATGGGGCGCAACTGACCACAAAGCATAAGCAATAACTCTACCCTCCCAAATCAACACACATCCAATGTCAATCCGAAAAGCATTGTGAGCACGTGATTTTTGCCTTGCTTGAACTATTCCTATAGAATTCTTAAAATTAGGATTTTTCTTTTATTATTTGAATTTTAGGGAATTAATTGCATGATTTTGTGTTTGGTTTGCCTTTTATGTGCATTTTTAGTTGTCAAAATAATAAAAAAAATTACTCACAGTGAGGACCCAGTTCTAGATTTTTAGATTAATTAACATCATTGAAAATAAGAGAAAATAATTAAAAATAGTCTTTTGTATTGTTTACTTTCAATTTTGATTTTTCCTTAAGCTTTCTTTTAAAACTAGGATTTGTTTAACTTTTGAGAATTGATTAGTTTAAATTTTACAATTAAATCAAGTCTGTCCATTTTTAATTTTTGTATTTAACAAAATTCAAAAAAAGAAGAAAAATAAAAGAAAAATAAATAATAGAAAAGAGTTAATTAAAATGAAATAAGAGAAAAGGAAACAGGCTAGCCCAACTAAAATAACCCAACCCCCGCCTGTCCAGCCCAAATCCCCAACCCAGTCCGGTCCAGAGACGCCCAAAACGGCGNCCCCCCCCCCCCTTAAACTCGTCTTTCCTCACCCCAGCATTCACCAGAGATCACCCTCTCCGTCTCCGCTGTCCGCCGTCGCCGGAAATCGCCCACGGCGGCGGCGAGTCTCCAAACCACCCAAATTTACGCCCCATGCTCCTCTCCTCCCCCCCCCCTTCCATATCCATGGCCATTTTCCCTCAAAAATCAACTAAACCCTTCGAATCTTAGATCAAAATCTCGGCCAAAAACCCTACCTCTTCCAAATCTGACTAAAATTATACCCTACAGTCTCCTTGACCTCCTCATTCCGAAACCCTAACCAAAACCTTTGAAATCTAAGTAAAACTTCACAAATTTCGGATCTAGGGTTCGAAGGGTCTGGACCTCTTTGGATTTTCAATGTTCGGGTTAATTTCAGTTGACATTGCTTGATTAGTAATGGCCAAATAGACATATAACATCAACGAGTTGAAAACCGGTCAGCTTAAAGCTCAAATCAGTGAGTTCTTCTTAAATTTCTTTCTCTTTTCTATCTGTAGATTTTCCCTTTGTATGCCTTAGTTTTCTTATTGTTTTTGCTTGATTTTATCTCAGTATTTCGTTTCTTTTAGGATTGATTTAGGGTTTGCTTGGCTCTTATTTTTTTCATTTTTAATTTGACTGAAACCACACAATTCCTGTTTAATTATTTGGTTCGATTAGTTAGTACTTCTGCCCATGTGGATTGTTTGCATTTGATTGAATTTTTCTCATACTAATGTCGTTGAATATTGATTATTCTTTAATTGGTTTGATAATGGTAGTTTGCAACCCGAAAATCAGTAGTTAGCTAGTATTAAAATTTGGGTTGGGATTTGTTTAGCTGATTAATTTTCAGAATTTTAGTTTAACCACAGTAAGTTAGAGAGGCTAGGATAATTAGCTTAATGTTGGTAATTTTAGGAACAATCCAGGGGTACTTCAGGTATTTTTACTTAAGGAATATTGTGGTATTAGGGAATAAAACTCCCTAGAAGCTTCTAGGTAGGGTTCAAAGTAAAATTTCAGAAAGTTAGTAATGTAACTTGGGCAATAAGTCAGTAAATAAGGGACTAAAATAGTTAAATACTGAAAATAAAAGAGGGACTTAGGGGTAAAACAAAGAGTTGAAGGCTGCCCTTAGTTTTGCCTATAAAAGGGCATGCCTAGTGCCTTAATTCACAAGTTTTCATCCCCTGAAAAATTCCCCTCAAAAAGTGTTCTACAAGTTTTGAGCAATCTGAAAATTTGAATTTGGAATTCAAATACCAAATCTGAAACTTCAAAGTTAGAAAGTTGACTTTAGATCTAAAATCCTCAGAAAAACCAAAAAAAAAGCACAAAAACTCCCAAAATACTGTCCTATTGGAAATCTTAGGTTAATTTTGAAATTTGGTTGTTGAATTACATCTTCTAGCTCAATATCTAGTTATTGAAGTTTTTGAAGTCTCTTGGGTCAATTTCGAGTTCATTTGGATTTTATTCAAGCTGTGTTTGGTTGATTTACTGATCCTATTGATTTATCACACTTCCTGGGTTATTGAACTTGTTTCTGGGCTGTGTTTGGGTCATCTGCTTGTCATCTGCTACTGCTGACCTCTCCTTTTCTTCTTATATTGCAATTTCCAGGTACAAATTCTAAACCGTGGTGATGTATATCTGATTTGAGAAGTTGAAAATGGAAATCCTATCACTCTTTGCCTGATGTTTATGTTATCAGCTTTTATTCAACTTAGTTAGTTAAATTTCATTTTAGTAGTTAGCTGTTGTAACTAAACTTGACTGTATGAAATTTTTCGGACTTGCTGTAGTTAATTTTATTGGTTATTCTATTAACTCGAGGTCAAATCTGTGAATACTTGTACAGGTCCACCTCTCGTGTGCTTTAACATAATTGATAGCTTAATTTGTTCATTATGAGCATGTTGAAAATGAGGCTCAGGATAATTAAATCGCTGTTAGCTTTCAGATTTAGAATATTAAGGATAGTTTCACGTGTGTTAACAGGAGAATCATAAGTAGTAATAGGATTAGATTCGATCAGTTCAACTGATTTCATCATATAGCTGATAATCATTTTAGTTAATCATGGCTCCCTATAGTTGTTTGTGTTAATTCATAGCTTAATAACTTCTCGTGAATAAATGCTTTAAATCTAATTGACAATATGAAATCTAGTACGCTTGGCAGTTTCAAAAGACAAAATGATTGGTTTATTTCATTGACTCGTTTCTAGGTTCAGTCCGCAAATACATTTCATAATACGTAGTGGTTGCAATCAGTAAGCTGTTGAAATTTTCAGAATAAGTATGTTAGATTCCCAAAGTGCACATGAGTTGAATATGTATGCAAAATTGGATTAAGGTCAGAATTAGACTTGTGTGTGGGCTAAACTGGACACCCCTTTGGTTAAATATTGCTTGGGCCTGATTTTCGTCTACACGAGGCCCACGTCTGGGCATTGTTTCTTTGCACATGCAGGTTTGGATCTGTTTAGGGCTAGTTTTAAGGCCCAAAACGCTAAAAGCTTCATTGAGGCTGCTTTATTTAAGTTCAACACCTATCTGAATACTTTAGTAATGACACATTGGCATGCTAATTAATAAGGGCCTTTTCTTTTATTATTAGAGACAACACACGATAGAAAAATCATAGTCCTTTAGGTTGGCTTTAAAATCAATGAGGTGTGTCGCGCCAAATAAAATCACAAATCGCGTGGCCCTCTTTAAATGTTCGCAAAAAATACTTAGACTCCGGGACGTGCCATTTACCGAATTTCATGGCCTTCCGCAAAGTTAATAATACGCTAGTTTGCTTTAGGCCCGGCCTTTAATAATACTACCTTCCTAAATTCGGGTGCACATTTATGTGACCCAAATTCAAATCCCAACGAAGTTGAAATATGTCAAAAACTACGGGTGCATTTATGTGACGTGGTTCGAGACGTGTTTTAACGACGTTGCAATTCTCTTTAAAATAATAAATAAAAGCGGTTCAAAGTCAGAAAGCACATAGATTAAAACATGTATTAAAATCAGATATTTAGCCATTTATAACAGTTGAGCGACCACGCTAGAACCACGGAACCGGGGAATGCCTAACACCTTCTCCCAGGTTTACAGAATTCCTTACTCGAATTTCTGGTTCGCGGACTGTTAAACAGAGTCATATTTTCCTCGATTCGGGATTCAACCGGTGACTTGGGACACCATAAATCTCTCAAGTGGCGACTCTGAATCTTAATAA